CCATCAAAATATAAGGATGTCGAAGAGGAGGGAAGGGACATTTTGACTGAAAGCTTGGAATTGTAGCTAGCCTAGATGTGATTCTTGTAGATGCCTGTATTTGCTATGAGGCCCTGGACGAATCACTCAACCTCTCTGAGCCTCAGCCTTTCAGATGAGAGGGTCAAATGAGAATTTCTAGTGACTCTTCCCTTTTTTATAACTCTCCCTCCAACTAAGCAGGCTCTGGAGGGACTGGGAGTCATTAACTCCATTTCAGCATTTGTCAAGGCCTATATTTGCCAGGCCAAGTCCTGTTGAAGTTTAACTGGGAAATCTGCAGAAAAGGGTTAGCACGGCAGGCCTGAGACTGCCATCCTTAGAAAGATCTGTTTGCATGGTTGGCCCTTGGTTGGCTTTCAGGAACTTTGATTTCAGGAGGATTTCTACTGTTCACAGAACTGATAAGAGTGGCTTACTGTGCCTAAACTGTTTGTGCAAACAACGTAGTTTGTGCTGAACACTTGCTTCCCTTCTGAGTGGCGGGAATTTTGGTACATACCAGGCAGAGAATGCCTGCGATGCTGGCCTCCAATAAAAGCCCTGGGCACTGAGTATCTAATGAGCGTCCTGGCAGACAACATTTCCCATGTGTTGTCATGGTTTGTTGCTAGAGGAATTAAGCTCATCCTGTGTGACTCAACTGGGAGAGGACTCTTAGAAGTTTGTGCCTGGTTTCCTCCAGACTTGGTCTCATGCATCTTTCCCTTTGCTGGTTTTGCTTTGTATCCTTTCACTGTAATAAATCACGGTGTGAGTACGGTGACATGCTGAGTTCTGTGAGTCCTCCAAGTGAATCAATCACTGAGTGTGGAGATGGTCTTGGAGACCTCAGACAGGAATTAAACCTAAATTTCACAGAGACGACCATAATCCTATACCAATCTCTTATGAATATATAGCTTAAACCAGCACTGTCCAATAGAAATGTATAACATCAGTTGCATGTGTAATTTAAAATTTTCTAGCAGTCACATTTTAAAATAAAAAAAAAACAAGTGAAATTTCAAGAATATATTTTTAACCCAATATATTAAAATATTAACATTTCAACATGTAATGATATAAAAATGTATTGAGATATTTTTATCCTTTTTTTCATACTAAGTTTTCAAAAACCAGTGTGTATTTTTACATCGATGGCACATCTCCGTTTGGACTAGCCCCATTCCAAGCGCTCCAGCACTGTCCAGTGGCTGTCATGTTGATAGCGCAGGCAGAGAGATGAATGGCAAGGGCTCTGGAGACAAGACATCTGGGTCAGAATCCTGGTTCTGCCACCTACCAACGGCATGACCTTAAGCAACGTTACTTAACCTTGCTATGTATTAGTTTCCTCGTCTGTATAATGGGGGTAATCATGTCAGCTACCTCATGAGGTTGCAGGGACTTTTCAAAAACTGCATAAATCTAAGGCGGTATCTGGAACACATAGGATGTTGGGTGAATGCTTGCTGTTACTCTTATTATCCAAAAGCTTGGCCCTTGAGATCAACTCCTCCCATAGATGAGGAAACTGAGGCTCAGAGTTTAGAAGGCAGTGGTTTCAAAAGCAAAAGCTCTAGTCACTTCTCCTCTTGATGGATTCCCTATCTCCTGGCTGGCTCTGAGGCTGGACCTGCCAATTATTCAGAAAACCAGCAGCTGGCCCCACCTGGATTCTGCAGTCCCTTCCTGATTGCAAAACAAGGCCACTATTTGAAGATGGCACTGAAGTGATGGGGGCTGGGCCTCCATTCTGCTGCCTCCATCCAGACTCATTGGTTGGGCTGGCTCACCCCATCACTGAGTCCAGTACTTACTCAGCAATGATAGGGCTGGCTTCCTTTATTTGGCTTTTTACAGCCTTTATTGTTTATTAACTCATGTTCTATCTTCCTCAAAGACACAGAGCATCAGCACATTTTTCAAAACCTCCTTCTAAGTCATCTGCGGTCTCCATTCACCCACGAAGAAAATATTCTGGATAGGTAGTGAGATCCCTGTATCCGTCTTTAAAAAAGAGGGTGAAGAAATACTGGATGCCCAATTATCTGGGATGCAGTAGAGCACTTTCTCAGGCTGGAAGCCAAACTGGCTTATGATTTGTCTACAGCATCTGTCTCCACCCTTCCTTTCCCAAAATATAATGCATATCATCTACCCTCCTCTAATAAGCTCACTCAACATGTCTCACATGTCTCAAATCTTACTAGCAGCTGGAATCAGACCAGTTTTGTGGGCTTGAACTTGTTCGCATGTGCTAACCTGAAGCTCTGCTTATTCTATATGCCAATAGTGTTTTATTTGATATTCATTTATTTAATAGATAGTTATTGAGCATCTACTATGTATTAAGCCCTCTGCAAAGCGCTGGGGAGGAAGCCTTTGTGGACCTGATGATTTAGTGTAGAAAACAGACAAACAAGAAATGACAATCAAGTATAACAAAGGGTTGATGCAGAAAGTGTCAAATGCTCTAGGAACTATGATAAGGTGACCTGAACTATAATAAGGAGACTACGTAAGGGCACCAGAACAAAACTCTTTTCTTAAGAAGCGACATTGAAGTTGAGACCTGAAAAATGGTAGGAGAGACCAGTTAAAGAGAGAACATGGAGTGCTCTGGGCAGAGGAACAGCATAGAAAAGTCTGGAGGTGAGAGAGAATGGCATGTTGGAAGAACCAAATAAAGTCCAGCACAGCTGGGATAGAGAGAGTGAGAGGAGCGTGGCAAAAGATGAGGAAGCTGCCGAACCCTGAGGACATTGCCGGAAGCGCTAAGGAATTTGGACTTTAACCTGAAGGCAGGAGGAAAACAACCTGGTGCAGAATAACATCTTTCAAAACATAAGGTTCCTGGGAACAAATCAGCCACAATGTTTCTAAAAAAGCTGGTGGCAAAAAGCTTGGGAGGTACTCTCTTCCTTGTGTTCATGCTCTTTGTACCAAAGCTCAGACCTCATTTGAAAATAGTCTGTAGCCTGAAGTTCCTCCCCCATGCCCGCCGTGCTCCCCCAACCTTCCACCCCACTGTGGGATCGGTACTCCCGAGTTTAGTGCGGCAAGGGCCTTCCTTAGACCCTTGGAACTATAGAGCCACAGAGACCACCACTGAGAGACTGTCATGGCTCTTGTTTAACAGAGGCCCAGGGAAGGAGAGTAATTTGTCTGTGGCCCCACAGCAAGCCTCAGGTCTCTGTCACCTTCTTGTTTCTCCTGAAGAAACTGAACGGTAGGGTTGGGACTAGGGTAAGGCAAGTCGGGCACACAGGGTGCAAAACTTAAGGAAGTGCTCACTCCCAGGGGCCAGCTCTGCACTTGCATGACCCTAGGTGCCCACTTGTCGCATCCTAGTCCTGGCTCTGTTGGACACACCGTGAGTGCAGAGATTATAACTTCCAAGAACTCTGACGTCTCTCAGGGTGTTAACATAATGCTGGGCACATATTTTGAGGGGCACTAGATGCTTACCGATGCTAATGAACAGTACATTTCTGACAAACTGGTAGGTATACAGATGTTTGTATCTTTGGGTACATATGACCTCCAAAAGACAACAGAACTAAGTGAAGAGGGACTGAGACTGAAGTCTAGAGACCTGGATTCTGGGCTCCTCTCTGCCACCTATTTGTTATGGGAACTTAGGTAAATTGTTTCCCATCTCTAGGTTTCAGTGAAATGAGGTGATTGAATAAATCACATTTATTGAGCACGTAGTCGGTGTCAGCCACCGTTCAAATGTTTCTGTGATTTAACTCATTAAAAGACTTTCTGCCCTTCAGGCTTCCCTTCATTTCAACAGGCTGTGGTTTGAGGTGAGGAAGGCTTCACAGAGAATGTGGGACTTGAGACGGACCTTCCAAATTCCCACGGGAACAATAATATCTTAAATCATAATAAAGGCATCGTATCCCATAGCCCTTCTCCATCAGAAGACAGAGACTCACCGGCCTCAGAATCACCTTTGGAACATGTCTGAAGGTAGATTCTCAGCCTCTTCCCCTGAGATTCTAATGCAGCGATTCCGTAGTGGGGCCTGGGAATCTGTATCGAAAGCTTCCCAGAGAGTCAGACAGATTTGGGAGGTGCTGATCTCAGTGCCTTTCACTACCTGTGGACAAACTCTTACCTCGACAGCCCGACCTGATCATCGGAATCTCCAAGCAGAGAAATGAATTCATCAGTTAATGCAGCAAACATTAAGCACCTGTTGTGTTCTAGGCCCTGTGCCAAGTGGCGATTATGATCCCTACTCTCAAGGGATTCCTAGTTTGTCACTTATTTTAGAAGCAAGTCATCTAGCCAGAACCAGTGGGGCCTTAGAGATATCATCAACCAATCCCATTATATAGTTGGGGAAACCGAGGCCCAGAGAGGGAAAGCACCATGTTCGAAACTCCACAGGGAGCAAATATATTTCCTGCTCCCAAACCAGCTGAGGTATCCCAATGTTCTTCCCAGGAGGGGGCTGCATTTTAAATCCTCCGTCACCCACTCTTTGCTTCTTAAGCCCTAACCCTACACAGAGTAAATGCTCCGGGAATTCTATCTTCAGGTCTTGCTGACATTTTTAATCCTCAACATCTGTTCAACCTAGATGGAGGCAGGAGGGAAGAGGGAACACCATGGGGTGTTAGACTGCCTAGGAGCGCTTCCCCGGATTGAGCTTCCCATCAGTGCTTCCGCGCTGAAACCCTTTCCCTGGCTGTGATGGAGGACATTGTGCCTGCCTCCTCCTGCACTTTAGAGCCAAAAGAATAGGGGGCCGCCTCTCTTGTTCACAAGGACCTGTTTCTCACCTCTCTGCCCAGACTTGCTTGTGTCACTGTCGCCCCGGGCCTGGGGAGGGGGAGAAACGGAGGGTAAGTCGTGCCCGCCCCCGAAATGCTAGCCGCCCTCCCATTGGCTACAAGGACTCCGGGCCAGCCACTGATTGGTCATCGCTGAGGGCTTGAAAGGTGACTGAGAGCACGGGACACCTCAGACAGACCGTGGCCCGGGATCAGACAGCGTCTCAGGCGAGTCCGAGACGCGTCCCCAGCCCGCCATGGCCTGGCTGCTCCGGGCATCCTGCCTTCTCTCTCTGCTCCTGGCCGGCTTCGTCCCGCTAAGCCGGGGGCAGAAGTCGAAGGTGAGTGAGCCTACGGAGTGGGGGGGCAGGGGAACGAACATAGTAGCCCCCAGGTGTCCATCTCTCAGTGGTGTGGCACGCATCTTCCCAGGCTTCCCTTCAGAAGGGCTACACCTTGGCGAGAGGGGCACCCTTAACTCCTGTTGCCTCCCTCATGCGCCTGGATCCCCCACACCCAGAGCGTCGGTCTCCTCGCAGTTCCACCTGTTGGAGACCTGGGTGACCTGGGTGGGCAGAGTAAACAGGAGAGGAAGGTCCCTCTCCCCGAGTTCGCGATTTCTCCCCCACCGCTACCTCAGAGTCGCCTTGCTACATCCATGCCACCTCTGAACGCCAGCTACGCCCCTCCAGTCTGGCCTGAAGGGAGCGCGGCCACAGAAGAAGGCCTACAGACTTGGCATCTGGTTGGTCGGCTGTGGAGAGGTTCCTAGGGAGACTGACAGGCAAGGAGGAAGGGAAGGAGATCGCAGCTGGGTGGTACCCATTTTGAAGCATTGCCTTGGGGACTCTTAATAAACGAGGAAGAAATGCACTTGGATTTGGGGCATTGGTAGCAGAGGCAGAGATCTGTGACAGAAAGAGCTCCGGGCTGTCAGTGCTCAACACCCTGGGCCCTGACTGGATCTCTGCTCCTTTCTGGGCCTGATTCTCCATCTGCAGAAGTGGGGTTGGGGGTAGCGGGCAGCGGGCAGTGGCAAAATGAAGCTGGTGATTTCAGAGGGGATGCTTAGAGGAGCCGTAAAATCCCCCCCACTGTTCTCTGAAGGGTTTCCTGCTCTGGGGCAGCCTCCCAGCCCACCACCCACTGCCCATATTGGTCTGAGCGCCACCTGGTAGTTGGAGCAAGCTGGGGACTGCCAGCTCAACGGGAGAAGTTTTCCCGAGCCTCAGTCTATCCCCAGCAGGGTGTGGGGATATAGAGGCCAGGGGTGACCCAACATGCCTATTTCCTTGGATGGTATGTGCCAAGGTGGGCCCTGAAGACATCTCCTCTTCTCCAGGGTAGGGAGACAGAAGCCAGGCATAGTGATAGACCCAAAGAGAGAGATTTCTGTCTACAACCTCTGAACACACACACACACACACACACACATCACGCTTGTGTAAGCTCAAGAATCTGCTTTGAACTGTTTCTAAAATCTTCTGGGTCTTTATTCTCAGATCTTAAGAGTCCATGATTCTGTTTCCAAAATTCTATCCACTGCCCAGGAAGCCCATTCCCAGTGCAGGATTCCTTCTGTCTGTTTTCATCCCCTGTCCTGTCCTCAGCCTAAAGCCCATTCAGTGTGCCCTCCGTGGACTCATCAGCCTAGAGACCAGATGGCTATCAAGCCACTTCCTCCAAGCCTTCTCCCTTTTCATCATCCCCAACTCAAAAGACATTTTCCAGGGCAAGGATGGGACCGATTTCAGGACTGAGGGTGTGGGGCGGCAGTGGGAGCAGACCATAGGTAGACCAGCACCATGGAGTCAGTCCTGCACCCTCAGTTTCAGGAGAGCAAGAGAAGGGAAGCTTGGGCCCTGCCACAAAAAGGCTAGAGGTAAGAGCATGGACCCCATGAACAACGCTTCACAGCTGTGTGTTCTCTGCAGCATTCTCGGGAGGAAAAGATGGATTCACAGAGAACAGGATGGGTATGGACTAGAAAAGTCTTAGGGTGAGGTATGATCTTATCAGATGCAACCAACTAGGACTTGCTGGCTAATGACAGTCTGGGCATGCCCATCCCTCCATCCAGGTCCTTAGAGAGTTGAGATGTCTAGCCCTGGGTTCTAGGACTCAGCCACGTACCTTACCCCCTACTCCAGGGCCAAAGGGTGGGGAAGGAGCATGTGGAGAATGGGATGGATAAAAGGTGACAGCTCCAGAGGGATGTCTGCCTCCTCCCGATTCAAAGGGACAGGCTAGAAACAAAGGGAATCCTTTCCTTCCCTCTCTAGACCAGCTTAAGGCTGCCCAGGCTCCCGTCCTTGCTCTATAAAAGGACTTTGCCGAAGCCGGAGAGAATAACAGCTGCTGACATGCATTGGATCCTAGTAACCAGTGGTTTCTAGGTGACTAAACCAGGCAGAGAGAATCATGGAAACACAGGCTGACGGAGCTGAAGGGCCCTTGAAACAGCACTGAATCTGACCCTGTCTTACAATGGAGGAGCCGGGAAAGGAGTGGTCAGAGTCAGAGTGAGAGGCACACAAGGCTCAGAACTCACATCTCCTGCCCCAAGCCCAGTTCTTTTGCAGCATCGCACTGATGAGAGTGATAAGATGGGAGAGGAGAGAGACAAAGACCAGCAGCCCAAGACTCCAGGGTCCTAGCTGAGTCCCTACCCCGCTCCACTCTCGAGCCACCAGAATTCTCCTGTCTTGTCCAGCTGTGGGAGGATCGAGGCACTCTCACTGCCCTTCCTCTCCATCTCCTCTCCCCCAGCCCCCCATTTAAGGTGCTCGTCTCCAGGATTCCCTGGACCCAGAGGAGGGAAGGGGGATCACATAAGAACTGGGCTGCAGTGCCCAGTGGTGAGTGCAGGCCATGCTTCTCCTACCATGGGCCTCCCTCTGACCCCTATTGTTCTGAACCCACAGCGCTGACCTCGCTGGCCTCAGTAGAAATTGCGGAAGCTCTTGTCACTCATCCTTCCTCCTATAGACACCTTGCCAGTGCATCATCTTCTTCATGCTTGGCTAGGGAACATCAAAGGCCTCTTCACAATAATGTGGGAACAACAGAACCCTTTACCTGAGCTGTAGGCAGAATAACCACTATCCCTTGACGTGGGGATTTCTTTCCAAGAGTCTTTCAGGTTGGTTTGATCTGCCATTAGATTCGCCCAGCCATTTTGGGAGGCAGGTGGTGTTACCATCACCAGTCAGTAGACAGAGGCTCAGAGAGTAAAAGTGACTTGCCCAGGACTACAGAGCCAGCAAAAACTAAAGCCTAATGAGAAGAGAGTCCCCTTGCCCCGCCTCCATCCTGAAACTGTGCCTAGAAGTTGACCCTTCTGTTGTTTATAAGCTTTCATTATTTGGACAATCTCTTGGCTTTTTTTTTCCTCTCCATTTCCCAGAGTTTGTTTTTGAATTAGGGCGAAGTGGAGGAGGTGGAGAAACAGAGAGGCATGCAGGAAGGGAGGCCTTGCTTTCTGGCTGCTAGACCTCGCTTTCTGGCTGCTAGACCTCTGTGGCCAGCTGAGGTATTTGCTGTGTCCTAGTTGTTTGTACTTTGAGGCAGAAATGACCCCAGCTGGGGCAAAGGAGGCCCAGGGGCTCGAGGAATGTTGAGCTTAGGTCTAAGGCCTGCCTCCAGCACCCACCAAGAGTCACAGGGAATGGAATATTAGATTCACATAAAGCAGGGAATTTGCACTGACGCCGAGAGCTTGCAGCTGTCAAGGAATAGAGGGCCCCAGACTCACCTGGTTAAGCAGGCCTGTGATGTCTTCAGGACAGAGGTAGCTTTTCTACAACCTCCTGGGGCCACACCCTGCCAGCCCAGTACCCTTCACCTATTTGGGCTGAGGTCCCTCACCTCAACAGCAAGTTTTCTAGGATTGATGGGAAGAGAGGGGGTGGATTTGCATCTGTAACTCCAATCACCTGTCTATAATGCTAGTTTGTACTCGATTTGTTGTCTTTCCACCTCTCATATTATGTCAGGGGCAGAAGGCACCTTAGAGATGACCTGATACAATGGTGGCAAGCTCTTTTCTTGCCCATCATGACTGGCCCACCTACTGATTGTGTTATCGATACCATTACACCCTTTCAAGAGTAGACCCGGATTTTTGTAGTCTGGGCCAGAGATGAGGGAGAGGCAGAGTGGAGTCCGATGCAGTCTCCTGCTTGCTAATAGTAATCCCATCCATCCTTTCCCACTGATATGATGCTATCAAGCCACCGTGGTTGAGAACAGCTGATCCAGTTTAAGGTTCTCATTTTATAGAAAAGGAAACTTGAGGCCCATAGAAGAGAAAGGGCCTATCCAGAACCACACAGGGAGTTAGTGGCAGAACCGGATGTAGAATCCCGGTCTCCCGACTTGCAATCCATTTTACGCTGTCCCTACTTGTTCTGGAGGTGGACTGTGGGGCAGCAGTTGGGCAGAGAGGAAGGCATAATGGTCATTGTCCCAAGTGCTCACTTTAGAGAACGTCTAATATATGCGAGGTTCTGTTGCTTTACCCTTCCCATATTTCATCCTCATGGTGAGGCTTTCGCCATTCTTGGCTCCTACTCCTGTATCTCAATCTTACAGCAACAGCCTCAGCTTTCCAATCCCCCAGGTTTGGAACCTCTGAATCACTACTCGCCATACTGCCACTTCCTTCTTTCTGCTCAGTTCTTCCTTCACGATGGTCTTGTTCAGGCCCCCCTCATCGCTTGCCTGGAGTATTGCAACAGCCGCCCCAAAAGTCTCCATTAGCTCAGACAGTAACAGTCACCAGTATCATATGACATATGATGTGAAGTGATGACTGCAGTTTTTCTCTAGGTTTCCATAGCATTCGCCAGCATATTAAGCGGTTTCATAATCATTATCTTGCGCAAGGAATTAGGAAACCTTAGTTCTAGTCCAGTTCTGATGCTCGGATTGACCTCGGGCAAGTCATACTCCCTTGGGCAAAATTATCTTGAAAATAGAGATCCCCAAGTTCCCTTCCAGCTCTCACTGCTCCGTGATGCTGGTTTTCTGTTCCAGGTGGACTGCCACGCTGGCATGAGTGGCACCATCTACGACTATGGAGCCCTCACCATCGACGGGGAGGAATACATCCCCTTCAAGCAGTATGCTGGCAAATACGTCCTCTTTGTCAACGTGGCCACCTACTGAGGCCTGACAGGCCAGTACATTGGTAAGCGCCCACCTCTCCTCCCCTGCTAGATTTGGGGCTGTTTCTGCCAGTCGAGCATATTTTAATCACAGACCCTTTCCTGGTGCAAGGGGGAAGGGGTGACAGTGATCATGAGATTCCAAACTGTGTATCCCAACTCTACTGTGTTCCAAGGTTTTGTGAGGATGATTATCTAAGCCTGAGGTCCGATCACCTTTGGACATTTCTAGATTCCCAGTTCTTCTTCATCCCTGGGAATCTTAACTGCCCCAAAAGCAGAGATTGGGTTTGTGCCCGAAGTGTCTTTCACTGGAGTAGGAGAAGGTAGCAGCTTTTTCTTCCTGAGAACTTCTCATCTGCCCTCAGCCACATCTGCCTTAGCGCTTCTCCTGGCCCCTATCTGGAAAGCAAGCAATGGGCCCGAGGCCATTCCGCCCAGGTTTCCTGATCCCTAGTATCTTCACTCCTTTCTTCTTAGCTGGGGTGCAGTGAAGAGGGACCAGCTGGGGCAAAGGCAGCTGACAGCACCCACAGGAAAATGCTCTGGGGCTGAGCACAGCCTGCTGGGGGGAGCTGAGGGAGGCAAGGTCAGTCTGAGCCTGAATGTTCGGCCTGAAAATCACAAGTGAATTCCCAGAAGTGTAATGACAGCGGGCTGGAAGGCCCAGTGGGTGGGTGGTGTTCAGAATGCTTCCGTCAAGCCCTTGGAATGGAGCCAAGTACATTTGTGTGAGAGATGGACTGGATGCTGGCCTTGCACAGGAAGCAGGAGGCACTGAGGAAGCTGGGCCAGGGCCTCCCGTGGATCCCTGAATTTCCAGAGTTTAAGAGGATTGTGAGGGCCCCACTCCGCCCCACTCCAGGAAGTCCTCTGCCGTCTCCCCGTGATAAATGGTTCTTGCTCCAAGAAACTCAATCCTGAGGGTCTTGAAGGAGCCTGGCCCAGGGAGGTAGTGGACCTTGGCAGTGGGCGGGTGACTGACAACTGACTTCTTTCCCCAAAAACCCTCCAGCCCATCCGGCTTAGAGTCAGGAGGATGGAACTTGGATCCCAGCATCAACACATTTGCTGGGTGATCTTGAGCAAGTCCCCACTGTCGGGCCTCAGTGATTTCAGCTGTTCAGTGGGCGAGCAGACAGAGTGGTACGGATGAGGCAAGGCTTACTGGGCTACCCCCGTCTCTGCTCTCTCTCTGGCCCAGAACTGAATGCACTACAGGAAGAGCTTGCACCATTTGGTCTGGTCGTTCTGGGCTTCCCCTGCAACCAATTCGGAAAACAGGAGCCAGGAGACAACTCGGAGATCCTACCTGGCATCAAGTGAGTGTTCACTCAGGGTCCCAAGAAAGCTCCTCCAGAATAGCCTGCCCTGTGCCCAGCCCAGGCATCTCCTGCACTGGCCCCTAGTCATGATGGATGTTTATCAGCCAAGACTACTTCTCTGTTCCAAGAACCTCCCGTGTAGTGAAA